CGTGTGCTGAATGTTTTAGTTGCACGATATTTCACATTTTCCAACTTCAGTTCAATTCCATTAACATTTGCTATGGATATAAAACGTGGTTAGCTGAGTTAAACGAGTTAAATTGAACGAAGAATGGGCTCAATACTGGCTAATTGTTTATAATTCAAATTGAACAAAACCGATCCTTTTCTCAAAAGAGCGCATTGAGCACTGAAACTCATTTTTGTTCAATGAAAACATTTAAAACGAGAAAGACAGCTGGTTGTTATATTGTCGTCGTCGATCATGTAGTTACAATGTACGTCATATTGGTTCAGTCCCAGATACGTCACAGATATTCATTCATCAAGAAAGCTTAGTGTATTTATGTGTACTTTATTCTGGGACAGACCCGTGAAGATCCGGGGTAGAAAAGGTCTTCAGTAACCCATGCTTGTCGTAAGAGGCGACTAACGGGATCGGGTGGTCAGGCTCGCTGACTTGGTTGACACATGTCATCGGTTCCCAATTGCGCAGATCGATGCTCATGCTGTTGATCACTGGATTGTCTGGTCCAGACTCGATTATTTACAGACCGCCGCCATATAGCTGGAATATTGCTGAGTGCGGCGTAAAACTAAACTCACTCACTATTCTTGGACAGTCTACGTGTCGGGCGGATATTTTACTGACAGATTTGAAAATACTTCAGCTTGAAATTAACAGTAATAATTGTAACTGGTGTACCTATATATCCCTCTGTTAAAGAAACATTTGGAAGCTTTATGGGAGTCTTTGGTATACCCCTTCATGATATTACTTGCATACTGGGGCGGTGGGATAGCCCAGTGATTAAAGCGTTCGCTTGTCCCGCGGAAGACCCAGGTTCGATTCCCCACATGGGTACAATGTGTGATGCCCGTTTCTAGTGTCCCCCGCCGAGATTTTGCTAGAGTATTGTTAACAGTGGCGTAAAACTAAACTCACTCACTCATTCACTGACTCACTTTGAATATTGCACAAAGCGGCATGGGTACCTGTGTGATGCCCGTTTAACTCAAAGTATGGTTAACCCTTGGCGTATTATTACAGCGAGGAGAAAACTTAAAGTTAATTGTGTCTATTGTGTATGATACATGAGAATACTGACATTGTCATATCATAAAGATTTGTGTAATAATGTCACTATTAAATCAAGGCGTACGACTTTCTTTAGATTTTAATCCTATTTGTAGGATTAAAATCCTACAATCATATCGTCATTTTGAATTTAAAATGATACATTTAGATTTGGTTTAAAAGGAATTAAACTGCCAACGTGGCAGCCATGAGGTCAGCCGTATCCACCCAATCCAATAACATACCGCCATTTCATTGGAGATAAAAGATAACAGCGACATACCTTCTTAATCAGATGCTGTTTAGAAACCACAATATTAATATACCCCCAGTGTGTTTTTAAATTGAAATGTTGTTGTTGATTTTAGTGTGTCTGTGAATATACGAGTTGAATCGACGCTGCGATATACATGAAGCGCCCCAAGAGATATAGATAGTCACGCGTTATTGGAATAGGTTTTATACAATGAACACATTTTTTCACTATTCCATTAGAGAAGCGTCTTTCAGTGATTTATATATACAGTCAAACACCGTTATCTTGAACTTTGCTGTGTCGAGCCTTCGGTTATCTCGAAGTAAAAGCTTGGTCCCTTCGTATTCCCTAATTAGTAATCACAAAGTTTACAATACTGTAAACAAATCAGACAAGACAGGGACTGTCTCAAAAGCAAAACCGGGATCGTAAAACCACCCTTGACAACCTTTGACAAGGGAGTACTTAGACGGGCGGTCTACAAACTTTATGAAGAAGAAAATATATATATTCTAAAGAAGCTACACCCCAGTGACTTTGTTCAATCCTTGGCCAAATGTTCACAACTAGATTAAACTGACTGAATTACTTCCATATTTTTGCAATGAAATATACTCGTTAACATGCAAAACGATTTTATTTAAACGTTGCACATTTCTACAATCAATGAAATCGATAAGATGCCACAAGTGATAGGATTCTTTACCAATGTACGAAATTATTTCGTATGTTTATTTCAAAACAAACACACATACACAAATGATCCCTTTCATAACTAAGCCAAATACAATACGTACACATATTCAACATGTTGTTTGAAAACATCTATTGAGTTGACCCCTCGCTTGAGCGTGTGCTCGGAGTGTCAATTTCAATTCGTCCATACCGTGCATTAACTTTGATGACGTAACACAAAGCAGTGCTAATGTTTGTATCAAATAACGTCCCACTACCCGCTATTTTGATATTTTCATCAGTGGCAACACATTTGAGGGGCATGTCTCGAACTCTTTATTTCCTCAGTCCTACATTAGGTTGATACTTCTTAAAGTGATATTTGTTATTTCAGTAACTGTAATACCTCTGAATTTGAAATATACCAGTAAGTCAAAAAGCATTTTCTCAGCATTTCCGACACAAAGTACTTGAGTAATCATTTCGCGGTTGTGTCTGACCTCGGATGACTCGAAGTATTTACACAGGTCTTTCACCTGCGACATAACGGTGTGTTTTCTGGCTGTATACATATATACCTCTGTGAGAATCAAACCCTAGGACTATATGATCTTAGAACGCCTGGGTGCGGAGGGTTGCCTTGTAGTTAAAGCTGAAGATCCGGGTTCGATTCTTCTCTTGGGATCAAAATGTGAAGCCTATTTCTGGTGTCCCCCGCCATCATATTGCAGGACTATTGCTAAAAGCGCCGTAAAACCAAACTCACTCACTCACTGTTAGAACGCCTAAGGACGCAGTTTATTCCTGTACTGGTTTATTGCATTGATATTAGTTTGAGTGACTGTCGTTTTTCGTTGATCTAAGGTTAGTTCATCATGATTTAACTAAGATGCACAATAGAATCAGATCAGAATTAATGTGTCTGTATGCCACCATGCTTCTCTGCAAAGTCATTGCTTATGAGAGGTTGTTGGATATCCTAATGGTTAAAGCGTTTGCTCATCACGGTTCTGTTCCTCACATGGGTTCAATGTGTGATGCCCATTTTTGGTGCCACCTAGGATATTGCTGAAAGCGGCGTAAAAAAGCATACTCACTCACTTGTTTTTGACATAAAGTGCAGGTCAATTTACATCCATGTTCTTCGAAGATAAAATTGGAAACAGACAAGGAATGATAACTCGATGATGTTTTTGTATATGTGGACCGGAGTCTCATGAACTAATTCAGACAATGACCTACTTTTCAGCCGATCCGAATTTTTCTCGTGGCGAAAGTGAAAGAGACACCACAAAAAGCTATGGTTACACTGAATTTCAATTCCTTGTCTCATAAGAAAAATGGTATTTACAAGTTAATTTTAATTTTTAAACTTTAATAACTTCGTATTTCTATGTTTTATGGCGAGGTGTAGGCAGCATGACCGTAACTAAGAGGTCGTAAAATGATTCACAAGTCATCTGGCTCACTGGTTACATCCTGATATGTGTTCTTTGCGCTTATTCAGTGTGGTTTTGTAACGCACAATGTGATTGATATAATATCAAGACCGTACCAGACCGCCAAACTTTTCTAGCGGCAAAGCCTCGTTTTGAGATTTCACGATTTCCAGATTTCCGTTTGTCAGAGCACGCTGTAATGACAGAGGACGCTGCACGACGTGTTTGCAAGGATTAGAAGGAGCGTAGTGTTGCAATATACAAGTGCTTAGATGTATCAAATAATACTGATTGATATTTATGTATCCAGTTGAATGAATTGGTCTTAAAATTCTGCACTGGTTAGTGTACTAAGTTGTGCAACAGGACGGAACCCAGTCAGCAGAAACGAGACTGCTGTGTAATCAATGTTTTGACTTGTTGTACTTTGTCATGAGATTGCAATGTTTCCGTGAATGTCTTCAGCCTAGTAACGATTTGATAACGTTTGGAATTTGCAGCTAGATACCTTAAAACATAACATCGATTACCGCCGGGATTCGAACCCCATGTTTCTTGGACGCCAAAGAGACCAACTCTGCATAGCCTTGAACAACAAGATGACCTGGGCTACTTCATCCTTACGGTGACCGCCACGTGACATCAGTTTAAATAGTATTTCGAGTTAAAGGGGTTCGAAATAGCGAGATTTAACTGTTGTCGTTAACTATTCGGTACATTAGGGGGAACAGAGTTCGTCATCTTACAGCGCTATTATAACCGGAAAAGGAGTAAGTAAGCTCTTATGATTTTTACAAGAAAATCACTCACAGCTTTAAACAGCTTTGTTGAGGCTTCATGATTTGGGAGTGAGACCCACGCTAGGAGAATGCCTTGAATACTTAAGCTATCAGTGCAGATGGTAACTTACCACCAAATAGGCATCTTTTTTTTTCTTTTCTTTTTTTTAAAGAATCCTGCATAAGTAATTTGGGAGAAACATTTGACTTGATGTAGAGAGTCATGGTAATTATACGACGTTTCATCTGACCACACAAAGACGTCATTGTTTGTTGTTAATCGCCGCACAACATTCCAGCTATATGACGGCGGCTTGTAAACACTCCAGGGTAGACCATAGATAGTGTCCAGGGTAGACCATAGTTAGTGTCAAGGGTGTAGGGCTGGAAAGACTCAGTCATCCTGCATGAAGCCCGATTCATTGAGGCACCGTCATGAGGCGAGATCATTGAGGCGATTGATAACAAACCCAAAATATATATTTATTTAAAAAGATGAAAGCGTAAAGAGCTGTTGAGGCGGAGACTGAGTAATTCAGCAATGTATGCACATTTCTTCACAAGGCCTTCTGTGGTAGAACTGATCTCCACCAACCAGTGCTTGTTGTAAGAGAACCTGACATTCGCCTCGTCACACACATAGACGTGAGGGCTGGTTGATTTGTCACAGAATGCTAAATCTGATTTTGTTGGCAATATGTTCAGCAAGGTTTTTGTCTTAACACGCCTCCCTGAAGTAAACCCACTAAAAATGATACATCACGTGCTAAAGTTTATTTACATTGTACATAGTGAGGATTTCAGCTCTGGACATGATGACTGCAACATCGGTCATCTCTTCATCCCTGCAAACAGAGAACGTAATGTTTCATAACAGCCAAACTGATTCATCCGAAATGAATGAATGAATGAATGAATGAATGAATGAATGAATGAAAATTGCTTATCGCCGCATCAACAATGTTACAGCTTATTCGCGGCGAATACGAAAGAAATATTTGTGTCACTTGTCAGTGGATGGATATTAATAACATACGTCAATCCCAAATACAGCACCGTTGTTGTGAACTGCTAACATTGGTATTGCAGGGAAAAAATATTGATAAGTTATATGCTACTTTATGTCTTGATTTTATAAAATGAAATTGTAGTGAATAATTTTAATTCTTCTTTAACCATTTTCCCATTAAGAATGAGAAACCTACCCGGTAAGAGCCATATTTCTGAGTTCCAGTCTGTGATCCCCATTGGTTCCATTGCTGACCTGCAAAAATCCACATGATGTATTGTGCTACACGATCATACCGAGTGATAGTGCGAAGGCGTTTTATTCTTTTACGTGCACTTCAAATATAATTTGTTTCCCTCCCTTCTAAATGTGAAACGTCAACTCGAGGGAAAAACTTTGTTATCATCCGAAATAGTGAGCGTGTGAGTGAGTTTAGATATCAATAGGGATAAAATAGCAGTAAAAAATATACGAATAGTTCATGAAAAACAGCGATGACACCCGGTGTTTTGAGAAAAGGGTCAGCAAGTCCTGCTCCAATGGTAGCATCTGTCATTCATACAAATTCATAAAAATAACACTTTTGTTTGTCGGTGATTGTAGTTCTCATTAATTAATGCATAAACCCCCAAAAAAGAGAAATTTTATAAAAGAATTCCGATAATGTACATATCTTCTTTGACAGGAGGTAGTAAACATTGTATATGTTGTGGTACCTTGATGGTAAGTGTCCTGATGTCCAGGGTAGGTGTTCACATGGTCAGGGTAGGTCTGGCCGTGTGTTGAGGGGTAGGTAGGGAAGCCATTTGACGGGTAGGTCTGCCTGTAACTCGGGTATCCATTGACATGGGAAGGCACAGATCGTCGGTATCCTGGGCAAGGAAAAGCAATTATTATGTTTTCGTTGCTACAGCTAGGTGAGTGAGTTAGGGCCAGTTATCGAGTCGGCGTGTTGTGGCAGAATAGCCCAAGATGTAGGTTACAGATTGCGTAAGACACAAATTGTATAAGCTCTTGATATTACAATCAGCACTATGTGTGAACTATACATAAAGCATAACAATATACTTACATACGTTTATGCAAAACCAATTAACTCAGCAGAAAGAAAACTCATGGCATAATCTGATTAATGAAATGGCCTAAAATCACGCTTATAAAATAGGGAATGACATCTGATACCAAATACTCACTTCTGTAATGTCCCTGAGAGCGTCCTCCCCACACATCTGGGAAGAACACAAAACTAGATTGTACACAAGGCTAGATTGTACACAAGGCTAGATTGTTCAAGAAGCTAGAGAGCGGAAGGTCGCGGGTTTGATCCCCGACCGCGTCATACCAAAAGACGTTAAAATATGGTACTTGTTGGTCCCTGCCTGGCGCTCGGCATTAATGGGTACAACAAGGACTGGTCAGCTCGGAGTCAGTATAATGTGTCTGGGTGGGATATTCATGCTTCACTTCGGCATGGTATCTCAGTGGGCTAGCACTATAAAACCGGCTTTAGTCTGGGCTAGTACAAGCAGCCGCACATACACATACACACGCATGCACGTCGTCATATGAGCGAAATATTCTCAAGCACGACGTTAAACCCAATTTCACCTCACCTCACCTCAAGAAGCTAGATTGTACACAAGGCTAGATTGTTCAAAAGACTGGATTGTATCCAAGAATAGATTGAATACAATCTATTCTGCTACACATATTAGATATTATGCATTAAACTGTTTCAAAATATAGCATTACTCTTTCATTGAAAATATGCTATGATTTAAACCATTTGCTGAATTTCAAACTATAAGAACACACATCAGTTTATGTTGCAGTTCAATAAACACACACTCCAACACAATTTGGATTTTGTTATTGTCAGTATTGTATCAACGTGGCTGATTAGAAACAATGAATAATTAATACTTGCGTCCAGTTAGTGGTAACAAAGGTGAGGTCAAGTATAACTGCTGCACTTACCAGTTGGGTACTTGTCTGGGTAGTAGTTGCCAGGGTGGTTGTTAGGGACGTACTGATCCCTGTAGTGTACATCCGGGTACTGTCCGTAGGATGGGTATTGGTTATACACAGCACCGGAACATACAAGGGCGCATGCGCACAGCAGAGCAATAGCTAGGATAGACATCATTTTGGGGATTCTGCAAGAAAAACGTCTTTCTGCTAATTATCGAGGTAAAATAACGCAATATGATAACCTAGACTGGTTTGTGAGACTTTATGTTTTTGTCAGTTGCAAATACAATAGCTGTGTAAGATGTGTATATTCTATTATTTCAGATCGTATTTAACCCATAGTTGAATTTGTGGAGGAATATGACTTTGCTCAGCATCTAAGAATATATCAACTGGGCACACCTGGAAAGAATTCATTCGCTGAGCCCATTAGAGATATCGAACCTGGGTCGAAGGTATGGCAAACAAGTTACTTCATCATGAGTGATTACATAAACTCCCCTTACATACACGAGTCATCTGTATGAGGATGTACTTTGTTTATTCGGGGTAGCCTAGTGGTTCAAGCGTTCACTCGTCACGCTGAAGACCCGGGTTCGATTCCCCACGGGGTACAATGTGTGAAGCCCATTTCTGGTGTCCCCCGGCATGATATTGCTGGAATATTGCTAAAGGCTGCGTAAAACTAAACTCCGTCACTCACTTTGTTCATTCTAGTGGAATAATGAAACCTTACCTGAATAGCCAGCTGTTAGTTGGACACGATGAATGTGGATCTGGTTGGATGCAGCACTGAAGCGCTGGACTTTATATAGAGATATACAGGGTATGAGACAACTTTGACGTATGGATATTAGTATTTCCTTAACACCCTTTTTCTGCTTTTTCAGCCAATAAACGGCTCTGGCTAGTCCTTGACGTCATGGCTGACAGACAACGAGTTGTGTAAGTCATTAATCAGACAAGGATTATTTGCCTGTGACACTTTGCTGACAGTTTGAGCATCTGTCAAAACAATGACGCTTAAAATATTTATCGGGTCTTTTTTTTCACTTTGACTGACAATTTCTTGTTCTTTTACAATGACTTGTTAAATACGATGCAAGGCAAAGTAAAGACAATTGTATTTATTTATTTCATTTAGAGAAAATTCAAACAGACCAATAGATAAATATGTTGGGACCTGTTTTGCCAATATTGCAAATTTGAAGGAAACGGGACATTATACTGCTGCTACTACTATTACTACTTTTGCTGCTGCTGCTGCTGCTACTGCTGCTACTACTACAAGTACCACTACTACTATTTTTCTGGTGTCCCCCTCCCTTGATATTACTGGAACATTGCTAAAAGTGGCTTACGACTAAACTCACTCACTCACATTCACTCACTCACTACAACAACAACAACAACAACAACAACAACAACTACTACTACTACTACTACTACTACTACAACTACTACTACTACTACTACTACTACTACTACTACTACTGTTCTATGAACCAGCCTGCTGCTCCTCTAATTTCTTACAAAGTTCATATTGTGGTATTTTTCTTGATGTTGCAATCAATCATCACCTTTTTGCTACCAAAACCATTGCTACTACTTATTACTATTCCCTTAAAAACGTGAGAGTGAACAGTGTTACAGATTTAATATCTAGTTTTATTAAACATCTTGGCAGTTTATTACACATTCTAACAGAAAATGTTACCATAAATATAGACAATGTGTTTTTTCTAATAAAGGACGGGAAAATAATATGTTTCGATTGTTTATATTAATGTGAGCGATTACGTATATTCATCTTACATAATGTATAAAACTGGTTGTAAGATGTAAGGATACAAAATTTCAAAAGACGTTTCTGCATCTTGACGTTTGTACATTAATTCAGAGAGGCGTCATGCTTATTATTAAAAAAATTGTTAATATCATTATTGGTATTGCTATTTTAGCAAATATACACCATTACATGTACTTAAATATCATACTTCCTGAATAGCCTCACAAACGTCAGTAAATGTTGATGGATAATGTTTTTGTTTTTTTAAATAATTTTATGTCTTTTCACCGGTACATGTTTTACAGCAAATCGATAGTTCATAGTTGATCATGTTGATGGCGTAGATGAAAATGAAGATACCGATATATACTTTCTTCTGTCATTGTGTAATACACATCCACTATGGCACTGAGAATACCTTGGTTCTCTTCCTGTTCATGACGTCAAGGACAGTATTTAATTATAGGTGCAACACATACATATATCAATACTTGTCAAAGTCTGGACTTCCTGGAGATATTTTAAACTTAAACGGAATGGCGAAACCATGTCTCATTTCAGAACGAGAAACCGTTTTGTCGTTGTCTTTCGTTATAACTTAAGGAAGTCAAAAGATGTGTCAAGTGTTGATTAATGTATGAAGCCTCTGAAGGTGTCCTTGACGTCATGGGTAAAGGGAGAGTACCAAGACACCCCAAGTTTTGTGAATAGGTCTCTTCTCCAGTACAGTACGTATTGGTCATTCGGTGACAGATGAAATACACGCAAGAACGTAATTAAGCACATAAAATGTACATCAAACTTCTCGTGGTGACCTCATGAGTTTTTCTGACCTGTATGATCCTTTGACTAAAAAAACCCCGACAAAATGATCACTGATTCTCATACAAAACCATGTCTCTACACGTATGGCCCTGGAATGTTTAATGTTGAATTTATTAGTGAATGTGAACATTCAAAATGTCATTTTGCGTGTCTTCAAGGTCAATACCGAGTGTAACTTCCATGTGACTGTATGACAGCCAGCACTCTCTTCCTCATACCCCCCTGTCATACTCCTGGTCCTCTGAAGGGCAGTTTACGCCATTCCTCGTGTAAAGCAGCTTCCAATTGGGCCAGGCTCTGTACAGAAGGATCCCTTTGTTGAACTCGACGACGAATCATGTACCAGATTTGCTCCAAAGGGTTAAGATCAGGGCTCATTCAATCGTGAGATATGTCAGGGGGTGCTTAACTACGTTCTTTGTGTATATAGTACATGCATGTGGATCTGCAAAATATGTATATGTCATCCTGTGTCTGCTACACTACCACAATCAATGTGTGGAGTTTAAAATTAAATTTAGTTTTTGTAACAATAGAGGTGAGGTAAAAATGGGTTTTACGTCGTGCTTTAGAATATTTTGCTCATATGACAACGTGCATGCGTGTGTATGTGTATGTGCGGCTGCTTGTACTAGCCCAGACTGAAGCTGGTTTTATAGTGCTAGCCGACTGAGATACCATGCCGCAGTGAAGCATGAATACCCCACTCAGACACATTATACTGACTCTGAGCCGACCAGTCCTTGTTGTACCCATTAATGCCGAGCGCCAGGCAGGGACCAACAAGTACCATATGTTAACGTCTTTTGGTATGGTGCGGTCGGGGATCGAACCCGCGACCTTCCGCTCTCCGGGCGGACGCTCTAACCACTACACCACGGAGGTGGTCTTTGTAACAATAGATGCAATGGTAGGTGTAATGATGGAATGTTCTTTCATGAAGAACGGGTAAACCTTAAAGTTGTATCCATTCAACAAGTAGCTCAAACCATACGATTTTATATTTCATAAGCCTCAATTTGAATTGCCACTTTAAAAAACTATATTAACAACTACTGCCAAGAGTAACAGCACCGCCACAACCAGCAGCAGCACCACCAGCACCACCACTAGTACTATTGCTGCTGATTCTATTAAAAACACACATTTAAAACAGGTATATGTCCAGACTGGGTCTCGTCGGTACGTGAATGAAATAATGCGACGTAAAACTTCAATTCTCTCACTCTAAAACACGTTCTGGAAGATGTACACAAACAACATTAAATACAATTGACTGGGTGAGAAGATTCAGAGCTACAATGAAGCAGCAAAACGTAGCTCTGAAATGTTCTGTCCAAAAATATAGAGCATTGCAAAAAGAATGTAAAATGTGTCATTCAGTCGCGTTCTCCTAAATGCCTATCAATGACTGTGTGTTGAGAATTATCCAATTTATTACCTACAAAAGCGAAAATATCGGGGTTCATTTTTTTCATACGATGCCCTAAGGCAAAATATCACTTTGTCTTGGTGACGTGACGTCATGAACAATGCTATGACGTCACGCTTCTTCTGTGACGTTGCGTTCTACATGAGGCGACGATTTTGGGTTTATTTTCCTCAATTTGACGACTGAACAGAATATTATATTCGTGTCCATATCATACTATGTTTACGACACTCGTGCCTAAATATCGGTATATCCCTCGCTCTTGCTCGGGAAATACCAACATTTAGGCACTCGTGTCATAAACATAATATGACACGGGCACTCATATATTATCCTCTACATAATCTGTTACATGTGCGATATAGCGAAACCTGACCGTACTCACAGAAGGCTTGTTGCCGTGTTTCACAATATTTTTATCGTAAGATCTCATATTTTTTAAATATTTGATATAACCATATAAAGGAGATACGTGTTTTTCTGTAGCAAATATTTTGCAAAAGCAACAATACCAATTAAAAAGTAAAAGAGAAGCTTTCAAGTATATGGTATTATAAGATAACAAACTGACTGAGTGAACAGTGACGGTTTTTGTAACATAGCTTGTTAAAGTTGCAATAGCAGTTAGCAGTTTCATCTGTATATTTCAAAAGAAATATACCTATTATGATAATTTCCATCAAGAGGCTTCGAACCAGAAAATCAATACCTGCACATATCATTGTTATCGGAAGTGTCATTTTTCGAACTCGAAATAGGCACAGGTATTGATGCTGCCATATTTAACACTCTCTTTATCGTCTTTTGTGACGCTTTCAGCCTCACATTATTGTCATTATTTTTTTAAACGTTATTCAGCAGAGTCTATTTTCATAATAGAAAGAGATCTGTATTTGAAAATTCCTTCCAGGGGCATGTTTGCGAGAAAACATTTTTCATGAAATATATAGATATATAAACTGTCTAGTTGTTCTTTAACGCTGCACGTGATTTAGACATATTTTATTGCAAAAACCAAATGGATAGGCGTGAGTGACACACTCACATGGCCTTTGAGAGGTTCATTCATTTTGCCATCAACGATGAATACGGAAGTGACCAAAACAAATGAGTATATTTTCGTAGATTTAAGCTAATTGCAATAAAGTATGCTAACATATCTTGACAGATGACCAACATGCACAATATATTGCTCCCGCATGTCCGTCAGACCCGAGGTCACCAACCAGTCAGAGCCGTTGATTGGCTGTAGCCTAATATCAATGGGTTATAAGGAAATGGTCGTATCCACGCGTCAAACAATTTTTCAAGTGTCTATTCACTTCTATATAAGAACCGATGTTTCATTACTGACCCACATCAGATCTACATCCCCGGTGTCAGACTCCCAGCTATAATTCGGTAAGATAATTTATTTTCTTTATAGGAAATAGCAATAACAGTGTATAGTGAAGCCTGAACATCTACTGTACTTATAGTGGAAATATCTTGAAAATCATTCAATACTTATTCCGTTTTCGTTGACGTTATCTTCCCGAACTTAAAATCGCAAGAGCTATGGTCTTTCTATTCAGATTTTCCTGTTAATCACCATTCACTAATCTATAACCATTCATACAACTCGCACAACGTGAGAAAATACTCCAAAATGTGCCATATTTAGTTCATGTAAAATGTTAAAAGTCGTCAACAAAACCAATGCTAGCGCCCTTCACTCAGGTGC